AAAATGAGCTAATATCACGAGAACGACGTTTGTAGATAAACGAGGAGGAGTCGGCCAGGTTGTAGAAACTGCAACGATTAGATTTCGTGCGTCACGTGATGGATAACAATTACGATATTGCAACAACAGTAACAACAATGCTTTTTCTTTTCTTTTCTTTTTTTTTTTCTTTTTTTTTTTTTTTTTTTTTTTTATATCGATTCGAACGATAATCCCGGTATACTCGAGCTATTATTGACCATCGAATTAGCATGGTTATTATTAAATCATGCACGGGAGGGGAAAAGATAAACCGTTTCAATGACAAATCGTGGGAAAGGTGAACGCGATCCACACCACCGCCTTCACCCTTTCGAACTTTGCACACAAGGAAAATCGATCCTCCTCGAGATTTAGTTTTATTTAAAAGATGGATAATACGATGGAGATATAGATCAATGGTAAACGATTCAACACTATATTTTCGAGGAATAATTAAATACACGCACAATTACAATTCTATATAAGCGAATAAACTTCTCGTTGAAATCTTTTTCTCAAATTGATTCGTGTAAAATATTTTTTTTTTTTCGCATACTTTGCAAAATCTTTTAAAAACGTGGAATCAACGTAGCTACTATCGATAGATAAGCGAAACGAAGAGATAAGACGGCGTCAGTGAAATTTCTCGGAATTAGAGCGATGCGTTTTGCAGGAGGGAAACGATGCTCCTCTGATAACTTAATCGTATTCCGAATTAAAAGCAAAAAATCGGCTAAGGTAAAGAGTTGACTTGGGACCGCCTGAGAGGAGAGAAGCTCGTCTACGAATCAGAATACTGCATTACGAAATTTCATAAATTCTCTTTAGACGGCTCTTAGACGGTTCGCGCTCTCCGTCAAGATCCGTGTTTTTCACTTGAAATAATAATCAATTCGCGTGAACGTAAATTCTCATCCTCTATCATCCGCCTCCGTCTCTCCACGACATTCGACCCTCTCTCAACCGGTATTCCAACCCGGAATCCTCGAATCACAAGAACACAATTCGTAGATTCGAGAAACGAAGGAATCAGGAAAAATCGATAAATGAATATATATATATATCAAGAAAAAAAAAGTATATTCCGAAGCGAATGTTTAGAACGGTTCAAACGAATGAACCGGTGAATAATAGAAAATGGTAGACAGTAACTGTAAGGGAGCAAGTGTCCCCGATTATAACAAAAGTGAAGGGGCGAAGCTCGGCTCATTTGTTATTAACCAACGTAGCGGAGCGTCGAAGTGCAGAAAGACTCGGAACACGACTTCACACTTTGACTCGCAACCCTTGGTAAATTTAGTTAATTATCAGTCAAACTTTCGCGAAGAAGAAGAAGAAGAAGAAGAAGAAGAAGAGCAGCATCGCTTCCTCTCCTCCTCGTCCCCTCCCTCTTTCCCGGATGAAAAACTTTATCGTTTTCCTCTCTCCACCCATCCATCCCTCCCTCTTTATCTCTTCCCTATCCACCGGAAAAATTATCACAATTTTTCCACGAATTATCCCCTCAAAATTATCTCATCCAACACATTCCCCATTTCGATCACCCCCCTCTCGTTTACCGCCCGATTAATTTCATTTTCGAATCCTCCTTCGAATCTACATCCCATCTATCCATAATCAAACGGCCGCCAATCCGCACCTCTCGAAAATCCCGAACACCGATCGACCGACCGATCGATCGATCGATCGATCGATCCATCCTCCCCGAGCCACGATTCCGCGGCCTCTCCAGTTTTGCGGTCGATTTACAATCGTACTGGCCGATGATCAATCTGGCCGTGTTGTATCCTATCCGGTCGTACATCGGTCGATGCTCGATCACCCGCTTGTCTCCTCGTGGCAGGAGGAGGAGGAGGAGGGGGAGGAGGAGGGCGCACGCAGCGGCGGATTGCGTGGACCCGGTTACGCCGAATCGAGGATGCCAAGGAAAATCAATTAGCCGGGCAAACTGTTTCGACTGTGCGGCTGTTTGCCCGCGCTGGAGAGAGAGTCGTCCAATGTGTTTCGTATCTCGGAACACGGGATGTACGTATATATATGTATATATATATATATATCCCGCCCCCCTCTCCTCTCTCTGTGTTTTCACGTGGTACGCCCCCCCCCTTCCTTTATGTTTGCAACCGGCGCAGCCCGTGCCACGGACACAGGCATCCTTGTAACCCGCGCGTATATCCGCGAATATGTACATACGGGAACGAGAATTCGAAATTCTAGGGGAGATTGAAATACACGTAATAACGTGGATAAACGATGGATGAAAAGTTTTTCTCTTTTTTTCCCCCCTCTCCTCCTCCTTCGTAAGTTTTCCACGAAACAGCGGGCGATGGAAAAGGGTATTGCGAAAAGAATAGTATTTTCGTGCTTTTGTGCGTATATATAGGTCGAAGAAATATACTTTCTTTCTTTGTTTCTTTTTCTTTCTTTCTTTCTTTTTTTTTTTTGGAATAGTCGGTGGATTATCGAGGATCGAAGTCGAAAGGGCGAATCGGATTGATTGGAAATTGATTGACGAATCGATATCGGGTTTAACGAATGCGCGAGAATGAGAAATTGGCGGCTACGCGTCTCTGTGCGTGCACCCGCGCATGCGCTTGCGTCGCGTGTCATCGATGTTGTCCAAGCTTTGTATTTGCGCTCGATGCCGGTGTGCACAGCTCGAAGCAAAGCATACGCGATGCGTCGTCTCCTCGCGCGCGGACGTACACAATGCAGTTGGAGTGGGCGCGTTGATTGATGACATGTCCCCTCCCTCCTCCCTGTAAAGGGACGGTATAAAGAGAGAGAGAGACGCACACACGCGAATTCACGCGTGGCGCGAGTTTGCACAACCGAGTTTCCCCTCGAAAAATTTGCGAAACGCGGCCTTTTTTTTTTTCCCTCGACTACACAACAGCTTCGTTGTAAACATCTAACATAGGGCGTCCATTGTTGCCCTCTGAACCGTTGAATAATTGGTACACCCGCAATTTTGGCCTTCGCCGAACAAGCATGTATTAAACAACGTTTCGGATATAAACCGTGGAATAATGAACAAACGTATGATTATTCCATAGGAACGCGGCACGAATAACTCCGGGTTCTTTGATCTGAGCGGCTCGGTTAATCCCTTAAATAACTCGTCTTGCGTCCTACGAATGGTGAACAAACGGGAAAAAAAATAAAAAGAAGAAAAGAAATAGATAGATCGTTCCCTCGATCTTTTTCATCGATCCTTGAAACCTCGTCCATTTCGTGGCGAAAATTCGCAATGCCATTATCGATCAATCGCCTCGAAAATTTACAATTATCATTTTGATTGCTTGTATGTTTATCTTGCGTCCTACGAATGGTGAACAAACGGGAAAAAAATAAAAAGAAGAAAAGAAATAGATAGATCGTTCCCTCGATCTTTTTCGATCCTTGAAACCTCGTCCATTTCGTGGCGAAAATTCGCAATGCCATTATCGATCAATCGCCTCGAAAATTTACAATTATCATTTTGATTGCTTGTATGCTTGTTTTGCGTCCTACGAATAGTGAACAAACGGGAAAAAAAATAAAAAGAAGAAAAGAAATAGATAGATCGTTCCCTTGATCTTTTTCATCGATCCTTGAAACCTCGTCCATTTCGTGGCGAAAATTCGCAACGTCATTATCAGTATCGATCAATCGCCACGAAAATTTGCAATTATCGACGTATCATCTTGGCAATAAGACAAGCTTGGCAATAAGATGGCGTGAAATATTAAACATACACGCGGTGTATACATGTATGACGATTATGGCGAAATAAGTAAGCGAAATAAAGCGGGGATGGAAAAATTTGTGAGAGAAGGGATAATGAAAACTGTGGGTACGGATGGTGTATATGAAGTATTCATGCCAGTCGCGACTTTTATAATGACGCGAATCATTGTCATCGGTATCGATCCTTCCTCGAGCTTTCAAAATTGGCCGACGGTTTAATGAGAACGATATTGAATTACCTAATTCTGCCCTGTTCCTAAAATGACTCGTTTAATTTGTGACGCCGGCGTCGCGACGCCGGTATGGCCCGATTCTGTCAATCTTAGTGCCGCCCGTTTTAAATATACATATTACGCGATTGCCAGGAATAAAATATGCAGGCCAGATGAATATTAACCCCCGCTGACAGGTAAACCGCGTCGATATGCACGAATTTCTCTGTCGGCCAGGAGAAATATTTCGCCGCCGCCCCGGTTATCAAGGGAGGGAGGGAGGGAGGAAAAAGCGGATTTTCCCAATCTTTTTTCCCGGATAATCAATGAATATTTTCTTGGTATAATTGTGCGAAGATCGAAGGTAAAATTAAAAGTTTGCCTCTTTTTACAAAAGAGAATATGAGGCAAAACTTTGAGGGAGAAATTTTAGGGGAGGGGAAAAACAAAATGGAAAAAGGAAAGTATTTACATTTACGTGAAAATATATAGATCGCGTTGTTCTTCCAGTTACAGGAGGGCGAAATTGTTTTGAATTGGATATTTTTATCACGGAGATTTGTCGCGACAAATTTTTTCGATAATTCAGAGATATATCTTTATTAGAAACGAAATACGACGGTGAAAGATCTCTGTGAATATAAAAGTTCCCTTCCAAAAGTATTTAATATTTAAAACTGTCTAGTCTAGACAGACTATTGGGGTCAAAGCGTCACGTTGTAAAATCTTTCCAGTTTTCCATTCTCGGCTGGATTTCTAAGCGGTCGACACCTATTTCTAGGAGTCAATGACATTTAGATCGCGCGACGAGGATCCTCCGCGAATACGTTCGAATATATCTTTGCGCATCCCCTATATATACACGGATAAATATATAATTCATAAATAATTAATTAAACACATTTGTTAATTCTTAATAAGATTGTGCAGAAAAATATTATTACCCGGGGAAACAGATATTGTTAGAGAATAAGAGAACAAAAATATATGTTTTGGGAAGTGGAACGCTTAAAAATCGACAATTTTTTCGTTTTCCAGAGTCGTATATTGGAAGATGCCTCCATTATGTGCAATTCCTGGTCACCGAGGCATAACGTGAGTATAACTGACTGTACCTCTTAATAATTTTCCCCTCTTCTGAATCATTCGTATCCAAATCGTATCCAACTAATAATTCTACCAGCATGCTCACATTGTCCTTACCAAAAAAAAAAAAAAAAAAAAAAAAAAAAATGCCCCACGCGATTGCTTCACTCTCGAGGTACAATTAAAGCGGTGCGAGTGGAGCAGGAAGAAACAAAGTTGTGAACGAAGGGAAAGAGAGTGGTGTATAACACGGTTGGCTTTATACGAAACGCTCCCGTAATATTTATGGTTCGCGAAGCCGCGTAGTTACGGTGGGCTTGGCTGACGTAAACTCGCTAACTCGTGGTTACGATTATGGCCAGTGGTAAATTGATTATTTAGATGTACGATGAGGTGGCGCGGGATAGTTTGAGTGCCGTAAAAAGAGCCACGCGTCGCTTACGTTGTTCCCGCAAATATAACAACGCCCGAGCACAAAACGTTTCCAACCAACGCTTTCGTCGTCGAGCAACTCTTGTTTCCTCGTGGCCACGTTTCGTTCACGGAAATCTACGGTTAAAAAATTTCGAGTGATTCAAACGTATTCACTGCTCACTGCTGAAAGGAAGCGTAAGAAGGGTTCTTTGCTAGGATCTCCGTTTCAGACGCTCCGTTGACGTTACACAATAGTGGAAGAGCTATAATTTTGAATATTCAAAATTAAAAAATTATGAAGTTACTGGAGTTTGAAATATTTAAATGAAACTATCTATGATGATATTTAGATTATTTGTATACATTCAATTATTATCTACTCAAATACAAATTATATTATTGTTACAAATTATAAATTGATGCAAATGTATAGATATAAATATCTGTTGAAAAAAAGTATAAGAAGGATTCTTTGCTAGGATTTCCATTTCAGACACTTTGTTGACATTGCATAGAAAGATATATAATTTTGAATATTCAAAATTAAAAAATTATGAAATTATTGGAATTTGAAATATTTAAATGAAACTATCTATGATGATATTTAGATTATTTGTATACATTCAATTATTATCTACTCAAATACAAATTATATTATTGTTACAAATTATAAATTGATGCAAATGTATAGATATAAATATCTGTTGAAAGAAAGTATAAAAAGGATTCTTTGCTAGGATTTCCATTTTAGACACTTTGTTGACATTGCATAGAAAGATATATAATTTTGAATATTCAAAATTAAAAAATTATGAAATTACTGGAATTTGAAGTATTTAAATGAAACTATCTATGATGATGTCTACATTATTCGTATATTCAATTATTCAATTATTATCTCAAGTATTTAAATACAAATTATATTATTGTATAAATTATAAATTATAAATTATAAATTAATGTAAATGTATCTTTGCTAGGATCTTCTCTTCAGATGCTTTGTTGACGCAGAAAGAGCTAAAATTTTGAATATTTAAAATATATAAAGATTATGAAGTTATTGGAATTTGAATTATTTAAATAAAATTATCTATGATGATGTCTAAGTTATTTGTATACATTCAATTATTATCTTAACTACTCGAATACAATTATATTAATAGTACAAATTATAAATTCTAAATGAATGTGAATATATATCTTTGCTAGGATTTTCCTTTCAGATGCTTTGTTGACACAGAAAGAGCTATAATTTTGAATATTCAAAATCATAAAAGTTATGAAGTTATTGAAATTGAATTATTTAAATAAAATTATCTATGATGATGTCTAAGTTTGTATATATTCAATTATTATTTTAATTACTCAAATTACATTTATAAATTATCGTTACAAATCATAATTACTCTATATATATTACAGAGAAATAAACAAATTTTAGAATACTCTGAATTCTATGCCCAATGCACAGATATTGATTAAAAAATTTCAAGTAATTCAAACGTACTACTGCTGAAAAGAGGCATAAGAAGGGAGGATACTAAATAGAAAAGCTATAATTTGAATATTCAAAATCGTACAAATTATTTTCATTTATCAAGTACAATTATTATCCTAACTACTCGAATTACATTTATACAAAATTATATTTATAAATTATTGTTACAAATCATAATTAACCTATAGATATTACGACAAGTAAACAAATTTTAAAACACTCTGAATTCTATGTCTAATATATAGATATAAATATCTACCGTTCATTGTTGAAAAGAAGAATCCTTTGTTAGAATCTCCATTTCAAACCATTTGTCGACATTTGTTACATAGTCGAGAGCTATAATTCAAATATTGAAAATCGTAAAAATTATTTTCATTTATTTCAAGTTACGTTAAGATAATATATCCAATTACTATCTTAACTACTCGAATACAAAATTACATTCATAAATTAAATCGTTACGAATTATGAGAAATAAAGAAATTTTTATGCATCGAGGTTTATATAGACATAAGTTAGATCGTCGTTTCGGATCCGAATACACGTGACGAGTACCAATGAAAGATAAATACTTCTTTCCACCGCAGTTTTTTGAATTGCTTGTGCTTGCTCCATTGCAGTTGTCTTTTTCTTGTTCCAAACATTTCTCAGCACCATTTGTATAGAAATTTCTTCTCTTATTCCGTTCATTGTTACCATCTACTTTGTTTAATTGATCAAATGTAGTGTCATTTTCACTAGTTTCAGAATTCCCATTATTCTCACTAAAGTCATTTTCATTACTTTCAACATCTTTATCTCGTGAAACTTATCTAAACTTATCCAAACTTAAAATAACGTTCATTCATTCGTGTATATCCTTTCAAAAAAAAAAAAAAAAAAAAAAAAGGAAAAGAAAAAGAAAAAAAAATTAAAAAACTAATTCGACAATTTCGTCTATCTATCTATACCCATCATTAACCCTATCCCCTACATGTAACGCGAGCGCATCCATTCCCATCCCATTTACACGTACGCATGCATATTAACGGCCGCGTATAGCCGCACACCCATGGGCATATCCCCGATCGACGAGCGAAGTTGGCGCGGCCGCCCGGCTACTTTGCACCGCAATCTCGCGTGTCGCAATATTTCATGTCGCAATCTCGAAGCATTTATCGAATGGTAATTTACAATACAGCGCAATACGGCCGCGTTTCCCTCGGCCTTTCCATCAATAATACACCGTTAATTGCGTTATCCAATGAACGGCATCAATTATTAACCCGAGCGGGCAACGAATAAAGCTCCGGCCGGCTGGATGCAGACGTATCCTGCAGCCGCTGCCTGCTTCCTGCGGGCAAATATCGAGCCCGTTACGAATTTGGAATCGTTTCTAAATCGATAAGGATGGATCGTGCTCTCGGATGGGTAGCGTCGCGTCGTCTGTGTCGCGGTGAAATCCCGAATTTGATCGGAATGTCGACAAGGACGGGGAGAGGGGGGAGGGAGGTTATAATATGCTCCATCCGTCCATCGACCAGTGGTTCTTCTTTGCTTGTGCTTGCTCCATTGCAGTTGTCTTTTTGTTCCAAACATTTCTCAGCACCATTTGTATAGAAATTTCTTCTCTTATTCCGTTCATTGTTACCATCTACTTTGTTTAATTGATCAAATGTAGTGTCATTTTCACTAGTTTCAGAATTCCCATTATTTTCACTAAAGTCATTTTCATTACTTTCAACATCTTTATCTCGTGAAACTTATCTATCTTTCGCCTTCTTTTCGCGAGAATCTTGGCGTATAAAAATTGGTTGAAGATCGTTGAAGGGAAAATTCGTTGGACTCGATCGAGGATGAAAATTAAAATTATAAAAGAGACGTTGTTTTGAAAAATTTGATGAGAAGATTTGATGAGAATCGGAGCTTTGGTATCGATAAATTATGCGGATCGTGTAAAGGAGACGAGCAATTTTGCAGGGGAGGGATAGATGGAGGAGGTTTGAAGCAACGCGTGAATTTCTCCTAGAATTGAAATTTCTATATCCGTCTTTTTTTCACGGAGTTTTTTTTCTAGAAAAAAAAATATTCAATAATTAAATCTTTAGAGTAAAATCCAACTAAAAAAGGAAAACCACATAAACTCAATATTGTGAATATAATGAATAAATATCTTTTTATTGGATAAATATAATATATCCCATAATATATTCGTATATCTTGAATTCCATTTATATAACGTATAAATCTACCAACACATATAAATATTAATGATTTAAATATCGCATGAATAAATAAATTGCAAAAATACTAATTCATTAAATCCTAATGATATTATTCTTATTATAAATCCTGATTGTCTTAAAGTTGAATAAGAACCACTGGTCCTAGACAGACGGTCCTACTCCGTCATGCAAGTGTTAATTCGTACAGTCTGCTGGTTTTCGTGCGAGACACCAGATTTTCTGGAAGAATTTATTTATTCATGCGTCAGACTGCTCCGCGATGTAGGTTATCGAACGGAAATAACGTAATTGTCCCATTTCGCGATATCCGTTGGTCCGACGGTCCGAGACCGGTTCTGCATTTAGAATCGAATAAACCGTGGCTAACGTTTAATCGTTATTCTCGAGCGAATATTATCGATCGCTCATCTCATCCCTACGAATCAATTGTAAACGATCGAGCATTCTTTTCTTTTCTTCTTTATTTTTTTTTTTTTTTAAAGCGCTCGAAATTTATCTTTCGAGAGCGAAGAAAGTTGGCTATTTTTTTTTTTTTTTTTTTTTTGATCGAATGAATATTCAACGGAGAATTAACGGAAGATTAAAAGGAAAGAATCTAAAAAATAATTTTTACCGTTAACATTTTGATGATTGATACGGGGGAAATTGGAGGGAGGGGGAGAAAAAAAAAGGAGGAAAAAAAAAAGTCAATTTCCCTTGCATTACGTATTCTCCCGCGCTGAATTCTTTATCGCCTTTATTTTAAACCTCGAGCCAGTATTCGATTGCTGAAGCGCAATGGAAAACAGAACTACACGCATTATATAGTCATGAATGTGTATGTTATGTTGAACTGCATCGAGTTGTGTTCCATTCACCTTAGCATTCTGGCACGCCTATTTTATTTATACACTTTATTTCATTCTGACAATGGCGGTTTACTCTTTTTCAATACGAAACATCCTGCATAATGGATAAAAAAGTGGATTGCATCATGGGATGACGGATAGAGCGGTGAAAAACTTTAATGAATATTTGTCGTCCGGGACGCCGCTGCTGTCCATTCCATAAAGAATCACTTTATAGTTTATACTTTTGGTACTTTCGCGATTCGATCGATTCGTTCACCAAATTTCCGTTCCAAAGTTCGAAAATCCCCTTTCTATTCCTCCTCCTCTCTCTCTCTCTCTCTCTCTCTCTTTTCTTTTTTCAAAAACAGACAAAAGTTCGATAAACAAACTCGAAAGATTTCTTCTCCCCGTTTTAACGCTTTCGAGCTCGAACGAAGTTTTAACGCATTTTCAAATTCATCATCCGCTTGCGCAAACTTCAAAACTACCCCCTTCCCTTCGCTCGACGAAAAGCGAAAAGAAGGGGATGAAAAACGAGAAGAAGGAAGACTCCACTCCTCCTCCCCTCTCCCCAAAAAAAAATAAACGTTCGCAATGGGAAGAAATTATTTTATTCCCGCCTCGGTTCACGGGACGGACGCAACGTCGTTACGAGCTTAATCATTTCCTCGCCAACTCTCGCCGAGCGGATAAATTACGCGGGCCGGTGGTGGGGGGGCGATAATTCAATTGTAATTGGCTAATCTCGAACGCGGTGGAGGACGCGTTGAGCGCGTGTGGTGGGGTCGGCCGCGGGCAGCTCGGAAAAATGACTCTATTAACGACCAGGAGGACCCACTGAATCGTGGGGGGGAGACGGAAGAAGGGGGAGTCTCGTAGAAACTTTGCCAAACAACCGCCAACGAGCTGCTAACTACGCGGGTAACAAGAGCAATCTGTATCCGTTCCTCCGTATCGTCTAGCCCCTTCCTTCCAAGCCTTGGAAAAACTATATACTGTGTGTATATATATACAGGGTGTGCGGAAAGTACGGAGAAGTTGTTTCGAAGATCGTGGAAAATTGAATGATAATAAAGTAAATAATAATGAGAATGGAGGTTATTTTATTCTTCTACTTGATTTTTTAATCAATTGTTTATCGTTTCAAAAATGTACATTCTGTTACATTCTGTGTTCTTTTGTAAAGATGTTCGAACAAAAGTTTGTTGCGTAAATACGTTTAATCTACGTATATTCTATATGCCTGGAATAAATATCAGAAGAATGAATATTTCTAGAATTTTCGAACAGAATCGAACAGAATCGATCGGCGAACAGAAGATCACCCTGTACATTCACGTACATACACGTAGCACGGGGTTAAACTCTCCCCAAAACTGGAACTCTTCCTCCGCTCTTCCTCGAAGAGAGAAACGCAATTTAGGATTTATTGTCCTGTTAAAAGTTCGTTTAGGTAAAGCATTCGTCTCCGTGAGCAGTGCCATGTATCACGCAACGGATGAGTTAAGTATCTACTTCATCCTTTCCAGGGTTGCCGGATAATTTAACGCCGGATAATCTTGCTCGTTATCTTCCACCATAAATAATTCCATAAATAATTCGTTCATCATCGTTCTCCATCGCGAATAATAAGAGATATTGAACGAAAAGAGAAGAGAAAAAAAGAAAACAATGAAAAAAATAATTATAACTCGAACTAATCCTAAGTGAACGAAGAAACGTAATCGTGTCGTTTCTCGGGATTAAAAGCGAGGTGCTCGATAAATGGCAAAAAAATTTCTCCGTGCACGAGATAAGAGGAAAAAAACACGGGGAAGAAGTTATGGAAATTAGAAAAAAAAAAAAAAAAAAAAAAAAAGANAAAAAAAGAAAAAAGGAAAAAAAGGAGAAAAAGAAAAGAAAGGGGAAAAAGGAGGAAAAGCGACGGTGGTTCAGCAACCTACGGATAGATAGACGGTAGGTACACGTACGTCGACAAAGACACAAAGTGTTCATAAATAATCGAAGCGCTGAAGCACGATGGTGGTTTTCGCATGAAACATTGATCGGCCGATGCGGACATTACGGTTTATAATGAAATAAGTAGATAGCGAATCGTTTTTAACCTCGCTACGCGGAACGTAACTATTGACATTTCAATAACTGTTACGGATAATTTGCCCTTGTCAATTTTTAATCGCAGAAATGGAACAACAACAATTTTCGTTTGCAAAATTTTTTCTCGTCGAACGAAACGATCGGCGGCCAAGTTTCGGATCGAATTAGAATTAGATTTTTCATTTTGGGAGAAAAATGAAATTATCTCGATTAAAACAACGAGAAGGGATATTTCTGGGGGGAGGGGGGGAAGGGGAAACGTTTAATATCTGATTTACAATATTTTCCATTACCGAGGAGAACGAAAAACGAGAGAGAGAGAGGTCGATGTCAATTAGTTTGCAATGGATTCATACAAACTTGATGAAAACCCGCGCCGCGGAGGATTCTCACTAAATTGTTTTGACAATGAAATCCTCCTTTATTGATATTTAATAAAGCAACGGCCACATTTTCCCAACGATGCAAGGGAACGGAAATCGATAACGCTATTTGAAGATATTCTATTTTTAAGTAATTTCGTTTCAGAAAGAAAATCTAGACGGGAGAGCGGGAAAGAAAAAAGTATCGAAACATTTCCCATAGCGAGCGAGACGAAAAATTGAAAATCGTTAAATCCGTTAAATTTCAATTCTTCGAGAATTCGAGAAACTTCCAATCTCGAATATTTTCGAGATCTCGAATCGAGCGACTACTCGACTCGCTCGCTTCAGACTCGTCGGATCGCGATCGTTTCGATTTCTGTTGGAGCGACGTGACGATACCGCTTGCGGTGGCCGAACCTTGCAACGCGCCGCGAGTGACAGATGCGGCTGACGCAAAATGTCCCATATAATATCGATTGCCACGGTATAGAGGCGTATCCGGGCAAAACGAAACCATAAATTCGCGTCGCAACCGCTATTAATACAGAAGGAAGGAATTGCATTAACCCTTTCACCCTCCACCATCCCATCCTATACGTTTCTCATTATTTCCGCTAGAATTCCCATTCCTCGCCATTTCCCATGCCTCGTCCATGCTCGAAAACCTTCTGTCGAAACCTTCTTCGAGACGATTTATTTTTCGCGAGGAAATATTTAATATTCGTTCGTTTAATATTAAGGAGGGGATTAGCAGGAAATTTGAGTTTAATGATAAAATATCGAGACTTGTCTACGATCGTTAAACGTCCAAATAAACGGACCCCTATGCTCGTCCGGTTTTAGTAACGCTTCGACCCTAAAATATTCTGTCCACTAACCCCAGCAACATTTGACGAGCAAACGAATTCGATTAGCAAATCTCATAGGTCACGCGCGGCCACTTTTCGAATAACATCAATTACGACAGGGTGAACGCTGTTACACGCGTACTTATCGTTATGCTTGTTTAATTCGTGTTGTTCTCATTATCTACAACGTGATTATAAAATGTGTATATATTATAAAATGTACATATATATATATATATATATAAGTTTCACAAAAAAAAAAAAAAAGAAAAGAAGAACGATTAAAATTCCACAACGAGTAAAGAGACAAAGTTGTTACCAAAGATGCTCGTTATTAAATAATATATCGATAGTAGAAAGAATAATGGAAGAATATTGAACGAATTAAAAAATCGATCACGTACGTTTTGAAAAATGCGGGAAAAGCCGAGCTCCAAGAGTTTCCAGTGTCAAAACTATTTTTAGAATATCGATCGCACGGCCATGTTGAGTACACGGAGTGACCTCTGACTGGATACTTTTGTACAAATGAACCGCACACTTTTTTTTTTTTCGCCAGAAAGTGACATTGAGCTACTATTTTCGACTAACGCTATATAAAACTAACTTTCCACCGATCAAATCGAATCTTTCCCTCCGATTGTAAAATTACTCGCGCACTATTAAAAAACTTAACTTGCTCCTTTAATCTGGCTTCTCTCTCTCTCTCTCTCTCTCTCTCTCTCTCTCTGAAAAATTCCTTTTCCTTCTTCTCGCTGAAACTGAAATCCAAAGTCGTGCGTATCCCTTCCCTGTATTCATGCATGCACGAACAGTTGTTACAGGATAACCGTCCAAGACGCGATATAATAAATTCGTTTAAAGAAGACGGGAAACCGGTTTCTGGCCGGGAAAATTGTATTACCGCGTGATCCCCGATTCTTCAATCAGTGTCACGTGTCGCTTTTAACGTTTCAGGGTGACTTGTTCGGGGGTCTGAACAGCGGCCTACAAGACGGCTTACTTTCGAGGGCGGAAGCTTTGGCGGCGGATTTGGGAAAACACAACGCGGGCACCCCAATGCCTTTGAAGCACGACCCCGTTTCGGTCTATCATCATGGAGCCCACATGCCGACCCCCCATCCGAATAACCGGCCGCATCATCAGGTACATTCACACCTCTTTGTGAGTCTGCATTTTTTTCGCATACTATACTTCCTTAGTTTTTCTTTTTTTTTTTTTTTTTTTTTTTTAATTTTTGGTTCCCTCCACTATCAGTATTTTTATTATTATTTTTTTTTAATAAGAAAAAAGAAAAGGAGAAGATCGAGCTTCGATCGGTTCGCGGCGATCGGTATATTTATATTAATCTCGAATACTATACTTCTTTCTCTTTTTTAATTTTTGATTCCCTCCACCATGAATATTTTTATTATTATTTTTTTTTAATGAAAAAAGGAAAGGAGAAGATCGAGCTTCGATCGGTTCGCGACGATCGGTATATTTACATTAATCTCGCATACTATACTTCTCTCTCTTTTTTAATTTTTGATTCCCTCCACCATGAGTATTTTTATTATTTTTTTTTTTTTAATGAAAAAAGAAAAGGAGAAAATCGAGCTTCGATCGGTTCGCGACGATCGGTATATTTACATTAATCTCGGCCGTCATCAGGTACATTTCTTCACACCTCTTTGTGAGTCTGCATTTTTTCGTATACTATACTTCTTTCTCTTTTTTAATTTTTTGTTCCCTTCCTTTACTTCGCCACCATAAGTATTTTATTATTATTTTTTTTAATAAAAAAGAAAAGAAGATCGAGCTTCGATTGGTTCGCGATACTTCCTTATTTTTCTTTTTCTTTTTTTAATTTTTGGTTCCCTCCACCATGAATATTTTTGTTATTATTTTTTTTTTAATGAAAAAAGAAAAGGAGAAGATCGAGCTTCGATCGGTTCGCGACGATCGGTATATTTACATTAATCTCGGCCGTCATCAGGTACATTTCTTCACACCTTTTTGTAAATCTGCATTTTTTTCGCCTACTATACTTCTCTCTTTTTTTAAATTTTTTGTTCCCTCCCTTTACTTCGCCATAAGTATTTTATTATTATTTTTTTTAATGAAAAAGAAAAGAAGAAAATCGAGCTTCGATTGGTTCGCGATACTTTCTTATTTTTCCTTTTTTTTTTAATTTTGTTGTTTCGTCCCTTTATCTCATTACCATAAGTATTTTATTATTATTATTATTTTTAATAAAAAAGAAAAGAAGAAGAAGATCGAGCGACGATCGGTATATTCATATTAATCTCGGTCGCGTCATTTTTTTTTCTTTTTTTAATTTTTGGTTCCCTCCACCATGAATATTTTTGTTATTATTTTTTTTTTAATGAAAAAAGAAAAGAAAAAGATCGAGCTTCGATCGGTTCGCGACGATATTTATATTAATCTCGGCCGTGTTCACTCTCACCGCTGCTACTACCACTTTGTTAATTCAAGCTGCGAAGCTGTGAAATTTTCATCCCGCTTCCCACACATCCAGTCGGGAAAATATTTCCCGATTTTGATTCAATAAAGGAAGGAAAGTGTCTGCAGTTGTATTCGTACAAATTGATATGAATTACGAAACGTACTAATTGTAACGCGGCCTCGGAGGGAGGATAATTTTGTTAAAACTTAATAACCGTTACCAATGACGAAGTTTATCGATGAAACAATTATCGTAATGAAGTATACCGTGAACAATAACGGCCGATTTGCAAAATTCAACGATCTCCGGCCAACGATTATAATAAAATGGGAACGAGTTTCGACGAGGAGGGGGGGGGGAGAGGTTGCTTAAAAACACCGCGGCAAATAATTAATCACGGATGGCAATTAATTATGATTTATAATTAATCGGACGATTGAAAAATTCAACTCCGCCGATTCTTTATTAACGTCGTATCGTATTCGAAATACGAGCAACAGTTTTCATTTTGACACTTTAATTATTGATACATTCTATATTCCGATATATATATATATACCATCCAAGTAATTGTACATACGTTTAAATATCGTATGACGTTAACGTTTATTAATTATTAACGTATCAACGAAATATATTTTATAACGAGAGAGAGGGAGAACGAAGAAGAAACGAGATCGTACGTCGAAAAGTATAATTTCTTTTTCTATAAGAAGAAACGCTCAGCATCAACAGAATTCGGAAGCTTAGAAAGAAAAAAGTAACGTGGCCCAGAAGATGCAGGGCAGAAAACGGCATCGAGTCCGCCCCATTAATTCAATCGCAATTTGCTGCTTGTCGTATCGGGGTTTTTATGCTAATACAAACAATCTGAGGCCGATGAGTGGATGATGGGACGGCAGTAGGGTGAAGCCGACTCCGATGCTCACCGACCCGGAATGATCTTCTCGAAACGTAGGGGCGTTGCTCGTGTATTATCTCGCCATTGGGACGATTCGTAACGCACGCAGGGCGTAACGCGATCAATTTTTCGACGCGACAATTTCCTTTTTTTTTTTTTCTTCCAATATTTCCCCTTGATCACCTTAAAACTCGAAAGAAATTGTATTTGTAATAATTTCAACGATCCGTCGTTGAATCAATCCGTTGATGAAACTTCGGATTTTCTTTTTTTTTATTTATTCGCAAAAATTTTGAAAATTGGAACATTACGATTCTTAATATCCTCCCTGTATTCTGTTGCGTATCTGTATCCATTAGCCGCCCATTAAATATTTCCACGAGAAGAGGAAAGCACGATCGAGATATAACGTGTATATCGAAGGAAAACACTTTTTTTTATAATATTCCCCTCGTTGATTCGTTAATCCCAATTCCATATATAAAATCATCCTCCTCCTCTCCCTTCGATCCACAGTTATCAACCGCTCCGTCCTACGCGTACAATTCGCCGTTTCTGGCTTCCCGCAGTGCGGTGGCACGGGCGCCCTTCTCTCGCTTACATCTCCCTCCCCTCCTATAACCATACACAGATGGTCAAACAGCAAGTGTCGCCCATAAAGTCTCGCCGTTTTTACACACGGGGGGGGGGGGAGGGGGGTTGACTTCGGTTTCAATAATTCGACGGTGTTCCTTAACCGATTCTAACGGGTAAATTTCGCGTCGTCATTGGCGCAAACACGGGAAGAACACTGGGCTAGAAGAGCGCGCCCTCTTCTTTTTCTCTTTGGATTCGAGAGAGAGGGAGGGAGAAGGGAGAGATGGATAGATAGATAGAGACTAACCCTAGCGTCGTGTCAGCGTAATGATGAAATATTGCGGGGGTCTCTGGGGCCCAACCGTATATATATATACGCCCCTGGGCTAGTCCCTGCCTCGCTACGTATTCGCCTACCGCCGTCCTCTTCCAACCCCTTTCCTTCCCTTTCGCGCCGCCACCCGCAACTCCCCTGCATTTCTGATGTAACTATGCTATTCCGGGCCACCCCTGGACCGAAACCGTGCCATCCAGTTAGCTCGCTACGGTGCATATTCTCGTGAGAATAAATGTTTCGTACACACGAGCACGTACGTGTGTTCTCATACGCATACGCGTCACGCCCTGTGTATATATATATATATATATATATATGTGTATATAGAGTGTCACGTACATAGTGTAAGAGTATCGTGTTCGTCGAAGCGTCTCGATCACGATCGTCACATTAGGCTTTACATTCTTTTCTTTTATATATATATATATTTTTTTTTTTTTTTGGTAGAATTTTGGTGGATAAGAGAGAGAGAGGAAGGGAGCAAACGAGAGGGGAGGAAGTACCTGAGCGCGTTGCGCCACTCTCTTAGGAGGAAAAATATGAAGGGAGCTCATAAATAATTTGCAAGGGGTCGCGCACACACTGTGCTCGCTACCACGACCACGCCACGTGCTGCATAATTGTGCGTGCTAGTTTGTACACGTTTCCTCTTCGTCATCCCACCCCCTCCCCACTTTCATTCATTCCTCCGTTTTAACAACGTCGCAATTGGTGCTCGATCAATTACGTTGCAATTACGATTTCCGCTCGAAGATCTCGATTCTTTTTCCAAGATACCCTAATATTTCGTATAATTAGATCTCTTCCGTTACGATTCTCTCGATTTTTCCTTTCCTCGCTTTCTCGAGGAATTATTTAATTATCACAATTATCAACACGTTACAATCCGTTCACCCCGAAAAAGCGATTAAATCTTGTTGCCTCTAGTTATCGAAAAAAAGACAGAAGAAGAACAAAAATTCCGCGACGAGTGAGAGAGAGAGAGAGAGAGAAAAAACGTGTAACCTGTACGTTGCAGATGAGCCATCCGGGGATGGAGAGTCTGGACATGCTGGACCCCGCGAACTCGATGACCACGTTGACGCCCATGTCGGAGAACACGGGCGGCGGGCCGGGGCATCACACGGGTATCCACGGCCCCTCTGTTTACGGTGGTATGAACGGGATGATGGGCCACCACCACCATCACGGGAATCTGGGCGGCGGGGGCGGTAGCGTGCCGCATCCGGCGCACCACCATCCAGCCATGGCGGCGGCGGCCGCGGCCGCCGCGGCGGCCGGCCTCCACCCGGATGCGGACACGGATCCCAGAGAATTGGAGGCGTTCGCGGAGAGGTTCAAGCAGAGGCGCATCAAGCTGGGCGTGACACAGGCGGACGTGGGCAAGGCGTTGGCGAATTTGAAGTTGCCCGGGGTGGGCGCGTTGTCCCAGTCGACGATATGCCGATTCGAGTCCCTCACGTTGTCCCACAACAACATGATCGCGTTGAAGCCGATCCTGCAAGCGTGGCTCGAGGAGGCGGAGGCGCAGGCGAAGAACAAGAGGCGGGACCCGGACGCGCCCTCCGTGCTGCCCGCGGGCGAGAAGAAGAGGAAGAGGACCAGCATAGCCGCCCCCGAGAAGCGATCGCTCGAGGCGTACTTCGCTGTCCAGCCACGGCCGTCCGGCGAGAAGATCGCCGCGATCGCGGAGAAACTCGACCTGAAGAAGAACGTGGTCAGGGTATGGTTCTGTAACCAGCGGCAGAAGCAGAAGCGCATGAAATTCGCTGCCCAACATTGACCCGAGGGTGGCTTGTGACAGCAAAACTGACCGTATCAGTTGCCCAGTCTCGAGCCTAAACCAGAGCCCTTGACCGAGTTCCAGGGGTGGCCGTAAACGAAGGGAAGGGGAGACGGTAGCGGAGACGGTGGGGATCGAGAATTCCGTTCCATCGGTGGACGGTTCGACGATTCGAATAATCGTGGAGGATGGACGGACGGATGGATGGAGCGACGTTTCTCGATCTCGAGTGGAGATCCCGCTAATCGATGGCTGGCTCGACGCTGTGGCTGTAGGCAAAGTCAAAGACTGTCACAGGCTTAATAATACCGTATTATTCGATATCTCGCGATCATTGCAAGCGCGTGCGATGCTCTCGACGACGCGCCATCTGCCGGCGGATTTTTACACCGGTGTAAACCGACGATAACCGATCGCTTGCCCCCTTTCGCCAACTCTTCCCTCTTTCTTCCCCGCTTCCTTCGTTCGTCCGATTTATTTTCGAGAAGTAATTGGACGCGATTGGACGAGATGCTCGGCTTACTAAAATTTCTAGAAATCTATTTTTCGAGAGAGAGAGAGAGAGAGAGAGAGAGAGATACAGAGAAGGGATGCGTGTTGTATTCGAGCTATAACGCGCGAGAATATCGCGTGAAATGGCGTGAAAGGGCCGTGACGTCAGGAAAGGCTGGATCAAATCATCTGTAAAGTGAGATAGAATTTGCGAAACGTATCGGCCACGATCGATGCGATAAAAAAGTTTACGAGCGTATCATCCACCCTTGAACCAACCTCGTCTGGAAATCGTCCTCGATTTCGCGTTTTCCTCCACCGAACTTTACTCCAATTTATCATTTCCAAAGTCCCTTTCTTCGAATCCCCATCCTTCCGATCGTTCGTTAACGAATTAAATATATCAAAAATTTATTCGAAATAAATTTTGCGTACTTTAACGTCATAAAAAATGAGAATGTGATCGATTGATCGCAAGTAATTAGGAAGCAATTGAGCGAAATCGAAAAAAATCATGTTTCAATCGCGATGTATCCCGTCGCGAAGATCTTTGGAAGAGGATCTTTTACGCGAATGAAGGGAAGCGATCGATCGCAACGAAGTAATCGTCGAATGCGTCTTGGAAAGTACAATTCGAAACATAAAAATATAAAAAGTACGTATTGTTATAATAATCGACGCGTGGATACGATCGCGCCGAAGAAAATAAAAGTGATATTAATCCTAATGAAGACACTCGGTGCAGTGTAAAAAGAGAAGAAAGTGAAAAGTTAGAGAGAGAGAGAGAGAGAGAGAGAGAGAGAGAGAGAGAGAGAGAGAAGTGTGCGTGTGAAAAGAGCAAGAATGAAAACGTACACGATATACTCGATCCCGGAACGAATCTTTCTCCTTCTCTAATGTTACGTTGCGCTCGAAACGAAATTTAATCGAACATTATTTTATTCCGCGATAATAAAATAGAGAACGATTCGAAGAAATTTTCTCAATGAATTCTCAAACGCTCAACAAAATTCAAATTCATTGGCGAATAAAATATTTGAACGTAATATTTTCCACGATTATTACACACTTGCTTCGATTCAATATACAAGGATTTTCGATTCTTATAATTATCACGGACGAGTGTATCGCGCACACCGTTCCATTTCCAAACGTTGGGGATTCGTTCCGGTGGCGGTGTATCGATTAGCGAAATTGCGCGAGGCAAGGACGAAAGAGCGTGAAAGGGAGTGAGAAAAACCGAGATGGGAAGAAGAAAAAGAAAAAGGGGCGGGGGCGGGGGGAGGGGGGGAGGGGGAAAGTTAAGAGGATGTATTACGTAGTGATATTGGACAATCAGTGAAAAGACTGTATCATATCATATTGAAGCAATACAGTAGTATTAGTCGACGAATTAACGAACTTTATTTGTACTTTTCGCGATCAACCGCGGCTCCCCCTTGACCGAAGGAAAGCCGAGGAAACGAACGAAAGGCGGCGAGCGAAATTTCGAAAAAGGAAGAAAAAAGAAAGAAAAAAAGAAAAGAACATTTCGGTTAACTTCATCATATAACTTCTACAAACTTCTAAAAATAAATGAATAAATAAATAAAAAATATAAATAATTATATTGTGCAATATTTTCGAAAAAACGATCGGAAAAAATAACAAACAAACGACTTCGCACTTGGCATTGGGAGCGCGGTTGATCGCTCGAAACGAAACACTCAGAAATTGATATCTCTCGACTCTCGAGAAAAAGGTCGCTCTCTGTACATTTTCACCAGCGCGGGTGTGATTATATTTTTTGTTTCGATCGAACGATTTCGTTGTCCCCCTCGTCGTGACAACGGGACTCGTTTAAACGTGAATTAAAAAAAAAAAAAAAAGAAGAAGAATAAGTAAATAAATAAATAGGGAGAGAGAGAGAGAGAGAGAGGGAGAGAGAGAGAGAGAGAGAGAGAGAGAGAGAGAGAGAGAGAGAGAGAGAGAGAAAAAAGAAATCCTCGTACATACAACTACATGCATGCATGCCACCGAGCCGATCACCGGCCGGGATCGTTCCGGGAATCGGATCGAGCCGGCGACGTATGATCGAGGCTAGTGTGAAAAAAAAATAACCGCGGTTACATGTGTGTGAGTAATACAGGTGTGTGATCGGGCTCGAATATCCGCGTGCAGTATCGAGCAATATCGCGAGGATGTTCGCCTACGAACGAGGAAGAGCGACATTGTCATTGTACTACTAGTTAAAATGTAAGCGGAAGGATGATAGCCATTTTTAAATTGTACATACGTAAGAGGATAGGTATTTTCTAGAAGAATAATAGTCTATTGCCATTCTGCTAGGTGATGGAGAGAGCAAAAAGAAAAAAAAAAAAAAAAGATTCTAGTGCAATATAGAGTTTAAAGACACATTATTATTATTATTATTATTATTATTATTATTATTATTATTATTATTATTATCATCATCATCATGATTGATTATCATTATCACTTTATTATATTCTTTATCTCTTTGTTATTTTTTTTCTATTTTTATCTATCTCCGTTCGGCTCGATTCGCGCCATCATTGTCGGCGATATTATACATCTCGAACGCATCGTTTAATTTTCTCTTTCTTTTTCCTTTTTTAAAATTCGATATGTATATATATATATATATATACTTTATTTATTTTATTTCGTTACGTCGTAAAAATTATTTCCACACGCGTGAAAACGGGCGTACGAGATTCGCGCGAAACAGTTTTTCGAGGAAAAAAAAAAGAAAAAAAAAAAAGGGACCGATTTATCGCCCTCGGGAACATATTTCCAATTCCGGGCGGACGATCGCGCCGTCGGTGTCCGTCGTAGCTAGTTTTTATTCGCTCGTCTATCGATCCCCTTGCCCTGTTTCCTTCGGAAATTACAGTGTTTTTCCTGTACACGATTCCTGGTGTACGATTACCTGTGATGCCTCGAGGTATATGAATATCAATTTTTCGATTCGTTTCGTAATAAATACGCGAAAAGGCCGGCGGGTAAACCATCGAGAGTCAAGCCTTCGAAGTTGAAGCCTCGAGTTTCCACGTTTCGTCGATCTTACTCTTTCCCGATTACCCCATTGTGAAACGAAACGAATGTGCGGGACACGCGATGTGTGATACCGATAAATCTGTAAGTATATATACCCTCCTTCCCCCTCCCCCCCTCCCCCGACTTTTCTACAATTTAATCGGGACACGCGATTATCGATGACTTCGATGTTTAAAACAAGAGGCACGATGTAAAAAAAAAAAACGTGATCGTATCGTACTCGTCGGACACTTGCGGGATATATATATGTATGTATGTATATTCATTTGAAATTAATTTCAAAATAAGTCGGATACAAGAAATAAGAAAATTTCTTTCGATTTGTTGAGAGCTCGTTGGAAGAAAGAGATGAGCAGAGATGCTGTACATCCTGGTGATTGGAATTAAAAGGCTGTAAAAAAAAGAAGCAAAAATTGAGATAATTTACGTGTACATGCGTTGAATTTCAGGATTTCTGCCACGAAATTTCTTTTTTTTTTTTTTTTTTTTTTTTTAATTTTTAAATTTTTCCGAAAATTTCAACAAAATTCTTACTGTGGAAAACAACGACATACTTGTTCTTTCGAATATCAAACAATTCCTCCTTTACTTAAGAATCCGACACTTATATATATCGCGATATTTTATATATATATATCGATTTATTCTTTTTTTTAAAAGGTGACGAGAATCTTTTTCGAAAGACGACACGTTCCGTAAAAAACATTAAAAGACAGGGTAACAAATCATATCGCAATATGCTTTTTAAAAAACGATTAATTACTTAATCGTAACGTACATCTAGGAGCCTTGCTTGTTTGGCGCGAGTAGGTATATGTACCGTGGACATTTTTCCCGCCGATTCTTCAATTTTCGAAGAGGAAGAGAAAAAGAAACAAAAACAAAAAAAAAAAAAAAAACAAGAAAGGAAAACGAGTCGTTTTTTAATTCTACATTTAAGATGGAAACAAGGAAAACGATTTAACATTTTGCATATACACGTGTATATAATCAATCGTCGAACGAAATCGATTACGAGAAAAGATTACGTTTGTCTTCTTTTTCTTTTTCTTCGCATTATTCGCGAAAAGATGGCGTGCGATTGATGCGAAGATGAAAGTTTCGTTTTTTTTTTATTTTTCTTGGTCGTGTTTCCATTACGATTTGTGCATTCATTCACGATATGATCCCCTCGAATCTCTAAGTAAAGAAGAAGAAAAAAAAAAAGAAAACTCGACTAAACTCTTTTTCATGTATTTTCTGCGTGCCAAGTTGTACTTCGAAGCAACGTCTTTACGAACTCTTAAAATAAAATAAAATAAAAAAAAAAAAAAACGAAACTACCGTTATATTGAGATGCATGTACAATCCGGTATGTCCTTGAATTTAGCAGTAAGGAAACGAATTTCTCGAAACTTTTTACTCGTGGATAAATCAGGTGATGAACCTTTGTGTACATATGTTCTACG